TGTGAGCCTCCTCGGTGGTGGAGAAAAGCAGCTGGGCAGGCTGGAGGATGATGGAGTTCATGTTCCCAGTGCTGCTGGAGGGCCCTGCAGCCCTGCCTGCTGCCTGGGAGCCTCAGGGCAGCTGGGCTACTGAAAGTCCAGTCAGGAAAGCAGCTGGGCTTTCATGTTAATACCTTGTTGTGCGAATCCATTGCTCCATGCAGGGCCTGTCGTTACCCCACAGCTGAGGCTGTTTCCTTGGCTTATTTTTATTTTTTTTTCCTTCTAGTGATAGCTCAGTGCCTGCAGTCTGCAGCTGGCCAGAAGCTCACAGCGGAGGCTGAGTGCCCGTTAGAAGATTTACTCGTGTGTTGCGAGGGTGCTGTGGGAAACACTGTAGGCAATTAAATCCAGCCCAAGCGTGTAAAGCTGCATCCTGTGTTTTAGTGTCTGTCTGGTGTAATAAGGGCTGGTAAGCAAAGGAATATTCCTTGCCGCGGCTGAAAGTCGTGGCCAGGATGTGAAAATGAGCCCTGGAGAGTAATGTTTGATGGTAAATTAATGGAGTCTTGCTTTTTCCTGTAATTAATAGCATCAGGTGGTTTAATGGCTTATTTTCAGGTTGGAGTGCCCTTTTCTGAGTCCCTCTCTCACTGACTTGTAAGCTGTGAGACTCGTCCACTTTCCTGTGTGCCCAGGTTTCCCAGCCATTCCTGGTGGGAGCCTGGGCAGCAGCAGCAGAGCGTAGAAGGATCCAGTCCCTCTGTTGTCGACATCAGTCACCCAGGCTCCCTCCAGTACCTCCTGGGAAGTCTAGATGAAGCAGGGCTTCCACTCTAACACTTGCCTTTTTTTGTCCTGTCTGCAGTACCACAGCAGTCTGGCTTCTCTAAATGGCCTCGAGGTTCATCTGAGGGAAACTCTTCCCAAAGACTCCTCATCCTCATCCAAGACAACCTACAGCTTCACTCACTATGACTGCATTCAGAACATACTTACGGGTAAGCCTTCGTCTTCTGGACCAGCAGCGCTTTGGAGGAGGGAATAAGGAGAAGAACAGGGTTTATGGTAACCTTTTCTCATGCTTCGGACAACTTCTCAGAAACATTGCTTGCTGTAACTCTTACAAAGTAGACTGGATATAGAGCCCTATTGAGGAAGCTTTGTCTTTTGTGAGTTTATCATCTGCTGAAGGCTTGTTGATCGCTTTGTTTGGATGAGAGCCAGATGGGAGATGGAGCAGCTGCCACTGGTGCTTTGCTTGGAATGATGTTGCTTGGAATGATGTAGCTCGGGGTTCTGTTAAGGGCTAAGTCTGAGGACAGGACTCGACATCCTTTTCAAACCCACTCTCCTTCCCCCCAACTTCGTTCATCCCTGATGTGACACCTTTTGTCCTGCTGCACGACAGAGTGTTTGTCAGTCGTTTCTGGCTACGAGAAGCAGGAACTGGGAACAGGTAGTAGCCAGCAGTTTGGAGACTGCTGCCCTGGATGGATGGGCAGCCCATCGACGTGGAGAAAGCCCTATGCATGTATTGCTCCAGTGCATTCTAGTGTTTCCCTTTTTCTGGCAGCCTCGCAGGCAGTGTCCTGGCTCTCTCCAGCTTAGA